TGTCCCCACTTTGTTCTTTTTTTTCCCCCTTGGCAGATTTATTGGGGGTTGATCTCCACCTCCAGGAATCCCCGACCAAGTTTGGCGGGTGGGGGAATTCTGGGACTTGAAGTCCACGCATCATCAAGTCGCCAAGGTTGGAAAAGACTGACCTAGATGGACCTTCTCCCTGAAGACCTGTCTCCAACCTGGTCCTTCAGGTCTTCTAATGGTGCCCCCATCTCCCCTGTCACTGAATCCCTCCCCCTGGCCGATGGTCATCCCCTTCTTCTCTTTCCTTCCACCTTTCCCAGCAATTAGAGCAGTCTCTCTCAACCCCAGAATTCCATGGCTGGCTGGGGAATTCTGGGAGTTGAAGTCCACCCATCTTAAAGTCATTGAGCGTGAGAAACACTGAATTAGAGCTTTTGGGGGGGGGGATATGGAGAGGAACCGATCGTGCTCTTTTTCTGCTGTTATGGAAAGTTTAATCAGAATTTTTCAGGTGAAGAAGGGGTTTTCCAAGGTTGCAGGCAGATGGGGAGGACAAGGAAATGGACTCTGGTCTGGAATCTCCCCACTGGAGTGAGATTCGGGGAAGGCTGTAGTGGGACGGCCCATTCAGGAGCGTTTCCATCTCTTTCAGGAACTGGCGGCGTCTCACAACGCTCTTCACCAGGTGACCACCTCTCCGGAAAGTAAGGGACGGGTTCCACCCCGCTCACGTTGTCGTCAAACGCAAGAGCGTTTAATCAAACCCTCTGCCAAGCGAAGATGGGCCACGCCACCGTCCTGGTGCACAGCTCATAGGCTGCCCTTGGCCTTGCCTGCTTTGAAACAGGCAGAAAGCCAACCGGTCAAGCTTTCTCCTTCAGGAGGGAACAGATATAAGATCAGAGTGTGTCTGCTTGCCTTCCCTGAGTTCCCAGCCTGCCCCCAAGCAGCGGGAAGGAAGTAACGTAGAGAAATCTGCTTGAAACGCTGAGAAAGCCTGAATCCACTTCTTTGGCTTTACAAATATAACATGAAAAAGGAGATTAGAAAACCGAAGTTGCAGCGCCGTCTGCAGAGCAGGTCCCAACTCCGCTGGGTTTTTCTCTCTTAATCCGTAGACTCCACCGTTTGCAACTCTGATCTCCCGGCAAGCTTTTAAAATGCGTGTGTGCGCGCATGTGTGTACATATCTCCGCGCTGCAATTTTTCCTGCATACCCACCCACACTTAGAGTGATAAAACGAAAACCGTCTAATCGCCACGGAAGTGGTTTAAACTTTAACCGACTCTGTTAAACTTGTCAGAAGTGCTGATCGATGCTTCCAAATGTGCCTAATGGAGCCGCTGTCCTGTCTTTGCAGCTCTCCAGCAAGACGGGCTTGGAAAAGACCCCATCTTTGGGTACCTGGTGGCCGAGGTGCCCCCCACCCAAAAGAGCAAAGACGGTACGGCTAGAGACGAGGGTCCCCTTGCAGGGGGGGGCACCCCAGCCTTTTGGGGGGCGGGGAGGGCCGCTGTGGAGCCAGGAGGTGGGCTGTGGGAATCGGGGTCGAGATGAAGGCGAAGACTGTACCCCCAAAAATACGTTAAATGGCAGACTATGTCTCTTATCAACATCGTTATGTGGATTATGATTCCAGAGGAAATGGAAGAGGCTTCCCCATGGCACAGAGACCCCTCCCACCCCTGTTGCTGCATCCCGGACTTGCTTTCTATTTTCCATTTTTACAAAAACTTTTGAGCTGTTTCAAAACCTGGCTCTCAGCGGGAGATACATTAATGCAGTGTTTCCCAACCTTGGCCACTTGAAGCCGGGGGGACTTCAACTCCCAGAATTCCCCAGCCAGCTGAGGAATTCTGGGAGTTGAAGTCCGCCCGGCTTCAAGTGGCCAAGGTTGGGAAACACTGCATTAATGCATCACCCTGAATATCCAACCACTTTTTTGCAACATGCAATAGAAAGGAACATGTGGGAAATTCACCCCGACCCACAAATTAAGCAAAATAATTCATCCCCTTCGCAGAACTCGGACTCCTCTTTTTTTCAGTCCCGGGTTGTTGACCCAGTTCGCTCCTCCTTTTTTGCCGCAGGTCACACAATCGTTGGGTATCAGTTCCACTATCCAAATTACTGCACCTGGTTTGGCCCGGTTCTCTTCGGCGAAGATCTCTACGTGATGCCCGAGTTCAGAGGTAGCCAAGGAATCGGGTGCTTTTAAAGATGTGCCAATAATTCTCTTATTATTCTTAGAATTCACATATTAGCAGAGCTCAGTAAAAATCAATCCGCGGACACGACAGCGGGATTAAGCAGTAGGGCGGTGGCGTCCGCAGCTGCGTTTGTCTGAATAATCGTGGGGGCAGATCCCTGCTCCACTCTGGGACCATCTTCTGCGGATCCCCCTCGCCAGCTGTGTTTGCAGAGACAGGGATCCCTCGTAGCAGCCTGTCTTTCCTAGAATTCGTCCTCCTTCCCAGTTGAGCCTACTGCCCTGGGGTTTCCTAGTGGTCTCCCTTCCAAATGTTAACCAGACCTGAACCCACCTGTGGAGCTTTCTGAGACCAACCAAGGTCAGCCAGGTGCTTTGGGTACCTGGTGGCCAAGGTGCCCCCCCAAAGAGCAAGGAATGGCTAGAGACAAGTGTCCCCTTGCAGGGGGGCACCCCAGCCTTTTAGAGGGCGGGGAGGGCCACTGTTGTGGGGTGTGAGAATAACCTTGAGGAACAGAGGAAGAGCCACAACTGAGACGACAGTCAGATCAGAGAAATGTAATTTGAGAAAACATCTGACTTGACCCTTCCTAGTTCTCTTGTAGATAAAGGCAGGGAGTGGGGCGGGGCGGGCACTTTCAGACTTGCCAGATTCTGTTACTGCAGTGTTTTTCATCCTTGGCAACTTTGAGAAGTGTGGACTTCAACTCCCAGAATTCCCTAGCTAGCATGCT